GTGCAGTTTCCTATCCGTAGATAACTTGGTCAGTGGTGGTGACTTGTTACTGATCTTTAAGTTAGAAGTAGGCTCTTATAAAAGTAAATTTAGTGTTATCAGTAAGTATTCCCATAATTTAGAAAAGGATATAAAAATTAATTATTCATTTTTTAAAAAAGCCTTTTCATTTTAGGTAGCTTCCAGAGGATTGGTGTAACTTAAAATAATTTAATACAGTCTTTTTTTTTTTTTTTAAATGGCCCAAAGAGAAAACATCTTAAACTACATTGAACTTCAACTTTCAGATGAGACAGCACTTTCTTGAGACAATTACCCAAGCTTCTTCCCTGTCGAATGGTACAAAATATCCCTGAAACTAACAGCAAGGTATTTTCACATACCTGGGGTAACTTGTTGCTTTAATTAAATGTTACCTCACCTCATCTCCACTAGGAGTTTAAAAGTTACTGTATTATTAAAAAGTCTTTGAAATGCTTGTAACTAAGAAGCAATAGAAAAAAAAAATTAAATTTAGAATAAGAATGATGCCATACTTTCTCCTTTTCATTTTTGTTTGGTCTAAAACATTATTGAACTTATGTAAATATTCTGATGTAATGTATTGGGTCTTATTACTTTATCACCTAGGACTCACTATCTTAATACAGAAAAAAAGAGGCTTAGCAATTTCTTTTTATCTGGCCAACACGTAAAGTTTACCCTCCGATCATTTAAGAGCGGATCCCAGCTCCTCAGCGACATGTATTTGAATCACATTATTTCTGTTTTTCAGCAGTTTTGAAAAGGATGTATGCTACCAGTTGTCATATTATTTTTAGATGATGTAAACAGCCATCAAAATGGATATTAAGTAATGCCTGATACTGTGGTATGCAGACTTCACGAGATCACCGTTTTCACAATAAACATGAAAAAAAAAATCAACTTTAGTGTGTTGGATCACTTGTTTCATACGAGAATGTATTTCTTCTGACTTAGACCTAAATTCAGTGTGTTTCTGAATGATCGGTACATTTTTAATGAAGAAGTCGGGTAAAATTTGCTTTAATAGTCACTCTGGTTGTACACACTTGAGCTTTGGTTTGGTTGTTTTGATATCTAAGGACCATTCACGCTGATACTCAGCAGCTGGAATATTTAGATGAACTTCAGCTCCCACTGGCTTGCTTTCTGGCTTTGTTCGAGTCTCTTATTTTCATCTGGCATGTTCTTACAAAGCTTTATTTAGGAAAAGAAAATGATGACTTAAGTAACTAAACTGAATAGAATAGATGTTCATTTAAAACTATTTTTAATGTAACTTAAATTTAAAAAATTCTAATCCTGGGTGGTTTCTGATTTATATGCATTAAAACTGTACTTCCCTGGCTCATTCTGAAAGTGTAAACTGTTCACCTATAAAGTCGGTTTATGTGTTTTGCTTGGGAACCGCTTTTATACAGAACCCAAAGGGGTCAACAGTGAAAGCCAACACCTGTTACTTATGGCTTCTTTTAAAGTCTCACTTGGAAGAAAGTGATTTAAAGTCCAGTTCAAATCTCAAGTTTTAAAAATTACTGAGGAAAAACAGAGATGGTTAAGTAGTGACGTCCCTCATGATATTAAATATCATGCAGGAGCTTTTCAAGCCTCGTTCACATTTTATTGAATAATTAAATGCAAACAAGTGATATGCAATAACCTTAAAGTCTCTTTTATGGCCATTAAGAATTTAAACAAATTCATTTAGCCTAGCCACAACTACCATTATATCCAACAGTAAATTGAATGTTGTTTTGAACTCAATTTATGTTTAATTTTTGGTGCCCTAAGGATTCATCATTATTGAGGGGGTCAGTATTTCGGCTCTGAAGGAACAATGCCTTTCACAAAAGGCCTCTAAAATCTGAAGACGAAAACAATGAAACAAAAGCTTACTCTGTTTCAAAACAGTTTTCCTCTCAATGTTTAAATGACTTAGTTGGTATCTTATGAATACAATGCTGCATCTTTTTAATGGATGTAATCCATTAAAAACCTCAATCTCAATACAATCTCAATACAGTTTTCTGCTTTTGTTTGGAACACAGACGTTTGGTTACTTTATTATATGTAAACACATTTCCAATGACAAAATGCTTTCTGAAATTCGTTATTGCAATTTGACACCCAAAGCATAGATACAATTTTCCTTGCAAATAAAGGTCATAAGAAATGAACACATTTTAATAGAGTGGAGTCCAAAAATTTTAGAAGGATGTACATAAGCAACAATTTCTTTAACGTTTGAAATATTTACAAAGGATTTTGGCTCTATTCTTTGCCATATGCATCTCACAAAACGAGTCACCATTGTCCCTTTAAGCCGGACACAATTGCCCTTCAGTCTGGCTGGAAACTTTCTAGAATGATCCTTGTTAGGAACAGTGCATTGGCCACTCATTTATTTCAGCTGCGAAAACTCTAGGGTCGTTAAATGACGCTTTTCTTTTTCTCCAAAATTCCAAAGACTTCTTTCCAAAAGATACAGAGGAAAAGAGAGAGAGAGAAAAATTAAGCTACAGTTTCTGCTGGCTCTAAAGACACTAGGCGAATGACTTATGCTAAAAAGGAAAATACCCTTTCTCCCCGACGAGAAGCGTGGATGCCTCCAAACCCCACGCCGCTTGTCTTTGCTGCTCGCGGCACAGCGCGGGCGTGACGCGTGATGGTGTTTTTGCTAGTTTCTTACCTCGGGGGCTTCTTTATAGCTTTGCCCCCGCCCCGCTGGCGGAGGCGCTCCCGCCGCTGCCCCGCGGCCGCCTGTTGGCTGCGGCCTCCGCGGCTCGCGCACACGCCCCGCGCCGCGTCCCGCACACGCGCGCTCCCGCCGCCTCCCTCCCGGGCGGCTCCGCCGGCGGCGGCTGGGTGGCAGGTAGCGAGCCAGCGGCCTCGGGCTGGTAACCCATGGCAACCACCCTGGTAACCCATAGCAACTGCGCTGCAGAAAGAAAGGGGGAAAAAAAAAAACCCGGGTGGAGGGGGAGGCGGGTGGTGAGTGGGAACAACAACCGCAGAAAGGCAGCGATTTACAGCGCAGCCTGCGGCGCCCCTCGCCTGCCCCGCCAGGTCCCCTTCCCGGCGAGGAGAGGACAACGCTGGCTGCGTCCACAGTCGTTACGAAAAGAATGTGCCGAGGGGCCTGGCGGGGCGGGTTGGCTGGGAGGCAGCCTGTGCTCGCGATGGCCCTCGGGCCGCCGGAGCGTGGTCCCCAGGGCCCGGCTGGCTGAGGGAGCGCGCAGGAGCCGGGACCCCGCCGCCCGGATGGGCTTCCTGGACGGCGCGGTCCGGGTCGGCGGCGCCGGAGCGGAGGTGGGAGGTGGGGGAGGGAGAGGGGTCGGCCCGAGTCTTTGTTCTGCAGATGCCAGCGCGGCGCTGCTGCGGGCCCGGCCCCGCCACCCGGCCCGAGAGGTGTGGGTGTGGCTGAGGCTGGAGGGGCCCCCCCGCAAGTGCCCCGGGGTCGCGGCGCGGCTGGACGAAACCCACGCGCCCCAAGTGTTTTATATGCGCACGCACCACACCCATCAGTTAACCCGATTCTCCTGTAGCCTTCCCAGGACCCTAAAACCTGCAGGGCGGACCTGCCAGTCGCTTTAACCCGCTCCCTCCCGGGGAGAGACCAGCCGCCCGAGCCCAGGAAACCCGGGTGTCAGCTTGGGTTCATTGCAATGGATGCCCAGGAAAACAGGAGCGCGCGACCGGTGGCAGAGGGTGCAAGGCGGCTCAAGGACAGAGGAGGGCGCTGCCGGGCCGGCTGGCGGAGAAGGAGCCGACCTTGGCCTGCTAGTGTCTGCGTGGTGCGTGGTGCGTGGTGCAGGCTCCCAAGCGGCAAGATCTCCCCTTAGATCTCAGTTTGCGCTCGTGTGTTCGCAGAAGCCCCAGCCCGCAGTGAGATGAAGGAAACACGCCGGCACGGGTCCCATTCCACACAGAGCACCTAAGCACACAGAAAGGCCACGCACCAGGCAGCGTATTGAGCTGAGGAGAGTCTGCGCTAGAAACCTGGGAGTCTATAGTTACAGGCACCCCGTAGCTCTCGCTAGCTGTGGTTTCCAAGCGCATTGTGATGTTTCAAAAAGGAAAAGGTTTGGCCTGGGTGATTACTGCAGACCTTTGAGATCTGAATCCTCCACTGTTCTCCTTCTGTAGGCGGGCACCAGTTACAAACCCAGAGAGCAACGCCGCCGTCAGCAGCCTCCTCTTTGAAGGCAAAGGCCTGCACGAGCATAACACACACACATACATCTGGGCAATCCATGTTCCTGAAAACGTGATTAGAACAGTGCTTTATATAGCTAATGCCTTTACTGGTAAGGGAAGCTGGCTATGGAAAGAATCCCATTTTAATCCCTTTGTAAAGAAAAGAACCATATATATATATATATATATATATATATATATATATATATATGTATATATTCAAGCATAACTTAAATTTTAATATAACAATATATATAACTATAACTATATATATATATATATTTGTATTTGCTGGGAAGGGAAACTTGGTTTATTTTCACAAACATGCACGTTCAGGGTTCTGGTGCTTATCAGGCGCCAGGTGCAGAGGGGACTGTGCAAACTGTTAGAGGTAAAAGATGGGGACTTGCCTGCGCTGGGATCCGCTCAGTACAATTCCTGCCCTTTGCAGAGTGGTGTACTGGGAGCCCTGTGCTTTAATTTAAAACTTTTTTTTCAACAAAAGCAATTACAGAAAAGTGCAAATTTAACGTGTGACATTTAACATTTCGCCGTGGCAGGCAGCCTCCGCTTAAATGGGGCCTTTCTATGGAACAACAGGAGCCAAAAGGCCTTGTGTCAGGGAGTATGTAAGACACAATCTGGGCTGGGAACGCACAATGAATCGGGAAGGATTTATGTAATTAATTGACCAGTCTTAACCTGTTATCGTGATGTAAGGAATTTGGAACTCATTAATTTGGGCTCTGACAGATTTCATATTAGAGCTGGCAAATATGGATTGAGCCTCTTATTCTTGTAGCAGCTGGAATGTCCATGACAGTGAGGGTTAGTGAAGAAGACCTATTGCTGGAGTCCGACCGCCTCTTTGTAATCAGCAGCCCTGCTCTGCATTAAAGGCATAATGAAAAAAAAAGAAGAAGAAGAAGAAAAAAAACGGAAAAAGCATATTACCTGAAACATTGGAAGGGGCTTGTGCTCACTCTGCTGGTAGGTGTATTGAGCTCAAGCATTTGCAGTTGAATGACAATATTAATTCTAGTCCTAAAGTTAGGTGCTTTCTCCAGCACCCTGAGAGGATGAGAAGGTAAGGGTCTCAGGGTCAGGTTTGGTATTGTTGTCAAAGTTAAAAGGGATGAAAAGGCGGAGCCTTTGAATTTCCTCTTTGTGAACGCAGAGATTGTATGAAGGAGGAAATAAAAGTCTTATGAGGGACAAATGGCATTTCTTGTAATGTCACAGCCACAAACGAGTGATTCAGAGCCGCGAAGGAGAAACCGGCTTTCTCAGAAACCTACTGTCGGACCCCGAATTCCAGAGCTCCCATAATGAGCATTTCGTCAGTACTCTCATCTGTGTCCTCTCTGCAGTGTTTGATGTTCAGCGAATCGCCCAGTGGGAAACGTCTAGTTTCTTCTTTGAGATTTTAAGAAAACCTAGTCAGAATCTAACATGCACTGCCCCCGCTTGGCAATCAGAAAATTGCTGGGTTGAAAAAAAGGTTCCAAGATGAAATGAAATGCTTTTTCTTTTTCTTCCTTTTACAATAGGTCCTCCCTCTAGCTGCACCATGTGATAAGGTTAATATAACAACTGCCACAGGGATCATTAATACAGGCAGATAAGCAAAGTTGCACGTTTAAAACACTTTCAGGGTATCATTTGCCTCCTCCTGCTGATAGAGAAGCTTTGGTAACAAATGCAGGATACAGGACTGAACATTTAACTCTTTAGTTAGAAAGCCCAACTAACCTTTCCTGATACGTTATTACTCGTACGTACTCTTCAAAGTTGGGGACTGACCGCTTTTGAGGTATGTTTTCCATTTTGTACATTCCCGCAAAACAATTTCCATTCAAGCATAACTTAAATTTTAATATAACAAATATTGTTCCAGCACAAATCTTTGCAAAAACAAAAAAGATTTCTAACTCTCTGGGGGAAGGATTGGAAATTTCCATGCCCCCTCCCCCCCCCCCTTTTTTTTAAGATTTTTTAAAAATATATTTTATTGAATTTTTACAGAGAGGAAGGGAGAGAGATAGTCAGAAACATCAATGAGAGAGAAACATCGATCAGCTGCCTCCTGCACATCTCCCACTGGGGATATGCCCGCAACCAAGGCACATGCCCCCAACCGGAATCGAACCTGGGACCCTTCAGTCCGCAGGCCGACGCTCTATCCACTGAGCCAAACCGGTTTCAGCTCCCCCACGTTTTTTGTTGTGACTCCAATCAAATTCCAAAGTAAAGAATTTTTATTTTATTTTATTGTTTTAGTTAGTGACAATGGGATTTGATCTAACAATGAAGGACTTGGGACAAAGATTTGTTTTGTGATTATCTTTTTAAAGAGTGATTTCTTCAGCTTGGGTTCCATTGGAATGAATGCATGAAGAGAAACACTAGAAATTGCATTGGTATATTAATGTTAGCCTTCCCATGGAGAGCAAAAAGAGTGCTAGTGGTTGGTATTAGTGTTAGTATTTTAGTGGGAAGGAGGGCTGTGAAGATAAACAGTTGATATCAGCGAGGCTTGGATAAGTAGTGTAAACCATGACAAGGGCGATTAATAGTGTATATAAACACACTTCAAATTTGTATACAGGATCTCAGCTCTCACCTAGGGATTTCTTTGTATTTTTTAAAAGGGTAATTTTTAAGTTGACAATTACAAGGTTATCAACTCACGTGCTGTGTGTACTGTTTATGTATCAGAGTTATGGATGGACATATTGAAGCGTGATTTCCTGGAGAGAGTGTTGACTGGAAGGAAGTCTGGTGCATTGGTTCTGGCTCTGGGCCCAGCACAAGGCCAAAGGCGGGTCCCACCCTCCCTGGACTGCAGCTTCCTCATCAGAACAGTAAGAAGCTCGAATGCAGAATGTCTTTAAAGGTGTTAATAAAAGTCACTAAAAAAAAGGAGGCCATGTAGTGGCTTTCACGGTCAATAACATTTCAGATGCATTGGGTACAGTGGTTCTCAACCTTCCTAATGCCGCGACCCTTTAATACAGTTCCTCATGTTGTGGTGACCTCCAACCATAAAATTATTTTCGTTGCTACTTCATAACTGTAGTTTTGCTACTGTGAAGAATTGTAATGTAAATATCTGATATGCAGGATGGATTTTCATTGTTTGCGACCCACAGGTTGAGAACCAAACGAAGTTTAACATGAATTTTCTGCAGGACTTCTCAGTACCTTTCACTTAGACTGAATCCTTAAGTGTGTGTGGGGGGGATACTGTATGCAGTTTTCTTAAACTGACTTGAAGAAGAGAATCTAAAATTCTGTGATCTTTTGAATTTATAAGACTTTGGATTCCTTCCCAGAATGATGAGGGGCCACTCAGGTTTCTTGAGGCCAGGGTTCAAGGACAGTATGGACACCCCTCAGAGAGAAGGACTCCCCGTCAGAGATGCCCCTGCAGGTTCTGTAAGAGGCAGGGCGGGTGTGCTAAGTTGAAACTTGTTTCACTGCTTACAGGTGAGCGGCCTGGCCTGTGCCACTCTACCTGCTGGAGTTTGTTTCTTCACTGGCACCCTGAGGGCAGGGGTGAGGTGGGAATGAAATCACAGTGTGTTTCCTTTGCTTTTCCTCCCCCCTTCCCAATGCCTTTTTTGTTGTTGTTAATCCTCACCCAAGGATATTTTCCCATTGATTTTTAGAGAGAGTGGAAGGGAGGGAGAGAGGCAGAGAGAGAAACATCGGTGTAAGAGAGACACATCAATTGGTTGCCTCCCCCATGCGCCTCCAGCTGGGCCTGGGATGGAGCCTCCCACCGAGGTTGCCCTTGATCAGAATAGAATAGAACCCGGGATCCTTCAGTCTAGGGGCCAGTGCTCTATTCACTGAGCCAAACTGGCAAGGATGTTTAAAAAGCTTTTTTATTTTATTTTTTTTTAATATATTTTCATTGACTTCAGAGAGGAAGGGAGAGGGAGATAGAAACATCAAGGATGCCACTCCACCCACACCCACCACAAGTCAGGTGCCCTCCCCCGCGTTTCTAGAGCAGGACGCACCCACGTGCCCACATGCCTTCTGTAGCATTCATCCCCCTGCCTGGTTGGTCACCCGTCTGTCTGTCCCTCTCTGCAGGCAGTCGCCCCTGGAGGGTCAGGGCTGCATTTCATCTCTGACTACCCCCACCCAGCTCCATCCCACAGTTTAATACAGAGCACATTCGAGAGTCAATGATGAATTACTGTCGTAAGGTAGACAAAAGCCTGCAGACCCTTCTTAAAGTCCCTTTCCTGTGGCACAACCAGCAAAGTAGCAGAAGAGCTTAGAGAACGGTAGTAGGCAGTCAGGGATGATTCCTTGAACTTGGGAACTTTGGTTGTCCTGAGGATGAACCGGAGTGCCGTGTCAGTGTCTCATTTCCCGTTTCTCTTGGGCCTTGAAATGGTAAGATAGCTGTTCATTCATGAGGTCTACATGGCAGTCAGAAATCTTTGCTCAAGGTTACTCTTCTCATTGATCCAAGAGACCATTCAATGACATATTTTGATGCAATTTCTTTTGGCCAACTTGTTTCTGATAAGACCCTGTGCCCAGGCGCAGTGTGTGTATAGTAGAGTGACATTCAATAAAGGGTGAGTGATTAAGTTGAATTAATTGACTATGTAAACAGGTTAACATTTTCTCCAAATGAATGCTGCTATGTCATAGAACCCATACAAAACTGAAGCCCAGTCTGACTTTAAAAAGTAATTAAAGAGTAATTTAAAGCTTTACTAAAGTCTCCTAAAAACCAAAACAGCCTAATTTTAACCCCCCAGACTTTCTTAGGGTTCTTTTCTGAATCAAGTTTGCCCATCACTATATTAAACTCAAAAGGGACAGTTCTGTGAGGCTTTTGACTGTGAGCACGTTCATTTAAGGTTGTCTTAGTACAGTCTAGTTATTTGCGTAGCCTTGGTTCAACACCAGCACTGAGAAAAAGAAAGGAGTGGTATAAGTAGGTGAGATAATACTGTCTGTTAGCATTAAGGAGACAGTTTATGACAGACTATAAGTAAATAAGAAGCCGGAGTTATCTGGAGAACACTATCTGTAACAGAGACCCCAAAATGCAATGACAGCTTCAAATGAGTGAGAAATCAACTTCTGTTTCAGGAACTCTCGAAGGCAGGCGGACCAGCCCTGCTCCAGGAAGTCACTCAGGGACCCAGGCTGGTGGAGTGGCTCTGCCAACCTTAAAAGGTACTTTCCAGATGGCTCCAGTCATTCCTGTTTCCAGCCAGTAAGAAGAAAGGAGGGAACACAACTGGGGTGAGCACCATTTAATGTGTTTTTCAATAGAAAATGTCAAACATACACAAATGTAGGGATAGTGTAATATAGTACATCCCTATGTGCCCATCACTCAGCTTAACGTTACCTTCATCAGGTCAAACGTGTATCATTTCTGTCCCCCATTAAGGCCCTCATTTTAAGTCAAATTTCAGACCTCTTTAAGAAGATGATCTGGAAATTGCACACATCGCTACATCACTTGGTAGGTACTTAGACACATGGCCACGTCTAGCTGCAAGCAAGGCTGGGCAAAGTCTCGGGCTGGATGGCTGTGTGTTGAGGAGGGAGGAGAGAATTTGAGTTGATAGGATTTGAGGGGGGGTGGAGGTCCTTGAGAAAGGCCATAGAAATGGAAATTGAATCATTCAGGGAAAGATTAAAGACATTTCTACACTGTGGTGAAATCCAATGGTGACAACTGCATAATGATACCTGTGAAAGGCTACAGTGAGGCTTATGCACTTGAATTTTCAGCAAATGCAACATCTGCTGAAAAAAACAGAACAGCAAAATGAAGTGCTTAGGACAACATAGGATTGTGCTCTTTTCCTCACCGTGTAAAATTAGCTGAGAGGATGGTTTCAGAGGAGAGTCAATATATGCAAATATCGTGGAGATAGTTTATCGCTTCTGCTGTTGGATTCTGTCTTCTAAAGCGTGAAAAGGTGTGTGTTCGAGACTTTGTGTATTTTCATGTAACAAAAAGAGAACAAAATACCACAGAACTTAAAATGAGCAAAAGAAGAACTCATTTAAACTAGTCTATCAAATGAATTTATGTGAAGAAACATTTACTGAGCATATGCTGAATTCAGAGGGTTGTCCTGGGTTCTCCAGGAGGTACAGTGATAACAAACATAGAGTCCTTTATCTCAGGGGTTCTCAAGCCGAGGGCAGGTCCACGTGAAAACAGCTAACCGTGACACAAGACAATGAATTAGGTGCCGTGGTTGAGGGTGGTGGACATCCATTGCTTTATCTGCCTGTGGTCCATTCTCTTCCTGCAAATCACTTGATTTTCCTCAGGGGCCAGCCCTCTTCCTTCTCTGTGGAGCTGATTCAATCTATGAGCCCAGATGGGGCTATAACCCAAACCTAGCCAATCAGAGCAATGGTATTTTCCTGGCCCAGGTGTTTGGTTTGGAGTGGGCACATGACTTCATTAGAACCAATGACCTTTGTGCAGCTGTTGAGAAAGGAAACTTTATATCTAGGGTGGCTGGGATAGGAAGCAAGTCAGAGCCTGAGAATGAGAGAGAAGAGAGTGGGCCTTGGTGACTTCCTTTAAGTCTGTTAGAACCTTCCATGTCAAGCATTGCAGTAAACCCACCATTTATTTATTCATTTACTTACTCACTGGCTCACTTTACTGGTATTGTGCCTTTAGCCCCTACAATGTTAATAGGAGGTGGGTGACAGTATCCCCCATTGTATAGATGAGCCTACTGTTAATTAATGGAAGAGCTGGAATTGAACACAGGCCTGTTTCTAAATCCTTAATAATCCCCCTAGACCTGTGGTCAGCAAACTTCGGCTCTTGGCCCGTTGAGTGTGTGGCTCTTTCACAAAATACCACGTGCGGGTGTGCGTACAGTGCGATTGAAACTTCGTGGCCCATGCGCAGAAGTCGGTTTTTGGCCTGGGCGAGTCTGTTTTGAAGAAGTACTGTTGATATTTGGCTCTGTTGACTAATGAGTTTGCCGACCAACGCCCTAGACACAGGGCCTAGACACAGCTTTTAAGGAGAAAATGTCTCTTAGCTCACTGTATTCTCTTAAGCTCCCAGAACAGTGCTTTTGGTTAGAAGATGCTCCTGATGTGTTCATTGACTGAATGCACATTTGTGATGTAAGGGGTGGCAGTGCTGACCACCCGGGCACAGGAAGAGGAGCAGGAGGAAGGGGAGGAGAGGATGAGCTCAGTGTGGCAGTGATGACTTTGGGGTGTAGATACAGGAAGAGATGATATGCTTAGAGGTGCCAATGTGGGGTTGGAATCAGGAGAGCAGTCAAAGATACAAATTTGGAAATCCTCTGAGAGGAAAATTGACAGTGGTCATTTTTGCACAAATGTCATGCCAGTGAGGCCTTCTTGACTCAAAATTGCAATCTCCGCTCAACTCCCTTCCCCTCTCCCTCCCTACCCCTCTTTTATATTCTCCATAGCACTTACCACATATATTTTACTTATCTGTTTTTCTCATCTGTCTCTTCTGCGCCATATAAGCTCCACTTGTGCAGGGAGAGCATTGTTTTTCACGTGGAATACAATGGGCCTGGGCTACTGGCTGTACATGGAAGGTGCTCAGAAGATATTCGTTGAGTAGGTAAATGAAGGACTAGAAGTGGACGAGATTGCTCACTGATGGCCTTGATGAGTGATAGAGTAGGACGGACAGAAGGCCAGAGAAGAGGAGACCCTGGAGGAAACCGAGAATGTCTAAGAAGCAGAAGGCAAATCAGTAAAGAGCAATCCCCAAGAATAAAGACAAAGACAGCAGAGGGATTCAGAAGGCAGCGGTGGGCAGCAGGGTCACATGTTGCTGAGAGGTCAAAAATGGTCAAGAACATTGCATGTGGAGTGAGTTCTCTTTGGTGATGTTGTTCAGCAGCATGATGTCGTAGCGCCTGGAACTCAGTCAGTTATCCGAGTTTGAATTTCAGTCCTGCCATTTATTCGTGATGTAAATTTGGGCAACTCTTTGAACATCTGAGCCTCGGTTTCTTTACCTGTAAAATGGGTGTAATACTGATTCTACCTCAAAGCCTATTTTTGAGGATAAACTGAATTACTGTATGAGAAAGGCATAGATATTGGCGAATTATTGCCATTCTTACTGATTTGCAGGGAGTAGAATAAATTTAGAGAGTAAATATATAAGAATAAAGAAGTCATGAACATTTCCATAAGCATTATGATTTGGGAAAAATTGATTTCAAGACAAAACAAAATGCATGATGATTCTTGCTGCTCTTTTCAAACTCTGTGCATATGCACTTGACAGCGAGCACTCTGTGTTTATGAGTTTGAATTTGGGGCATTTTCTTCATCATGCCTGTTTCCGGTTTTCCATGCCCCTTCCTGCCCAGGCTATCTGTGTGAAGGCACAACCCTGAAACCAAGAGGTGACATCTCAGGCCGCTGACAGTTGGGCTCCAGAGCTGCTTGTAACCATTCCCTTCCCCCACCTCCCCCTTCTCCCTTCCCCCTCCCACTCCTTCTTCTCTCCCCCTCCCTCCCCCTCCCAGGGCATCTTGTTTTCCACCCTCTGTAGCCAGGAGGTTGCAACGCTCATGTCTTCCTAGAAAAATCACTGCTTATATTTATGCATTTGTAGCAGGTTTTGAGTTAGATTTAGTCTCAGTGGCTGAAGGTTCAACATTTTCTGAATATTTTCCTTCAAAACCACAACCATCTTTGGCAGCAAAGGAGCTGAGGGATGAATAGGCTTCCATGTTGCTTGGTTATAGATAGGGAGAAGCCGGCAGAAATTTGCAAGCATTTGCATATATACAATTGTCTGCCTGATGTTTGCTTCCAGTGCTTGCCCTCCTCCTCTGCCCCCTGTTCTCTTTGTGCAGTGAATTACTAATACAGATGCAGATAATGAAATTTTCTGATCCCGGCCTGCAAAGCCCGCGCACATTTTGGAAAATATCTGGGGAAAATGGATGGGTTCTCTTGATCTTGTTGCTGTATCCACACAAGGAAATGAAGAGGAGAAAGCAATTACAGGGACTTGTCTTTGAAGGTAGCATGAGTGGCACTGACAGGATTTCTTTTCAGAGAATCGTGTGGAGATGCTCTTTTCTTGTTAATACCAATAGGTATTTGCCTGGAAATAGAGTTTACTTATTAAAACGTGTGTTCAGCAGATGGGGCGCTGTCCACAGGAGGCGGGACAAGTTCTGTCGTGCTTCCGAACAGAGTGGGTCTAGGGCAGGTGAAATTTGCCCCCAGGATTGAGGCGTTCCCCGGGGGAAGCCATGAGAATGCAAATCCTAAAGGCAGGAGGAAAGGGAACCTGCCCCTGAAGCATCCCTGTTCCTGCAAACTCAGGAGCCACCAGCTTCCCCAAGCAGAAGTGCCAGTTTGTTGGGCAACGGGAGGGGGTGGCTCAGTGGCCCTGATTAGGTGACCGTGACATCAGTCATGCGCAGCCCCCCTGACTCCAGAATATGTCCCTATTAGCTATTAGAAAGTTCCCTGGCGAAAGGAGCTGAAAATCAACTTTACCTGGAAACTTTTTAGGGTGACAAACATTTTCTTCTACCTATCCCTGCCATGGACCAAAAGTTAACAAACACTCTGGTAAGCTAGTAACTAAAGAGAAGCCCATGGTTTCTTAAACAAACACTCAAATGAGTAAGCAATGACATTCTAATCACCTTGGGTCCCCAGAATGCATGTCTACTATTTACTTCCTTTTTTTTTAAAGTAAATTAAAAAAATATGTTTTGATTGATTGATTTTTATTTTTTTTTTAGAGAGAGAGGAAGGGAGAGGGAGAGAGAAATATCCATGAGAGAGAAACATTGATTGGCTGCCTCCTGCATGTCCCCTACTAGGGTCAAACCCACAACCGGGAATCAAATCTGTGACCTCTTGGTGCATGGGACAACGCTCCGCCAACCGAGCCATGCCGAGGGGGCTCTTTACTTCCTTATACATAATCTTTGATTTTTACCTATTGTTGATCTCCTATCATCTGTCACATAGCCAGTGCCAATTCTGTTTGTCTGAACAGGTCTCTAAACAACCTGAGTTTGTGTTGACAGCTTGTATGAAAAGAACAAATATTTGCTTCTTATTTCATGTAAATATGCGCATGCTGTCAAAGGAGACTGGCTTTAAGAGGCTAAGGTTTTGTCTTTCATCGCTCACTAAGGGACAGCTAATCTATATCAGAGATCATTCTAGATGTGGGAGCGCAGCGTGGAAAATACAGACCTCCCACTGGTTGCAATGAC